CAGAACAGGACCCTAACTGCCCAAGATTGTGGCACATGGTTATCCTGTCCGTTTGTAGCGGATAGATTACCAATGCCTATAAAATTATGCGCCAACCGGCTTGGCTCGTGCCTTTTCGTACTATGAAATGTAAAAGGTCGAATTTGACCCCAACTCGGGTCCAGCGCGCGGTTCCCCTCGTTATACGCGAGTAAACAGATTTTTCATCTATCAAGATGTGCGAAGCGTCCTAGTTTGACAGGTTGCAAAATAACGAAATAACTAGGTCCTATTTAGGAGTACGGGTCCGACTAGAAAGGCTCGTCAATGCAACTTCTACGGTCCATCTTAAAGAAGGTTCATATAAAGTGAGAGCTCAGCATGTTTGTGGTGTGTAGGCTGACTTGAGCCACACTCCTCTTCAGCCGCCCTAACGGTTTTGCTGTCTAAACGGGAAAATGAGGCAGACGTTACGAAAGCTTTCTCTGTAAAAAATTACACAAAAGTGGCCACTGTGCCCTCTGTTGTGTGGTCCTCCCATCTTGTGACGGAGAAATTGATTACGTCTGTGTGCCCTTTGGAATCGTAAAGTTCAAGTCTACTAGGGCTTCGCGGTTAGTATTCTTAAAAGCAAGTGTCCTGCCAATTTCGGTAGCCAGGTCAAAAATAGTATCTACGTGACTGGTCTCAGGGTTGTCTTATGGATTTAGGACTTGGCCTTTTCAACCGAAGACTTTAATGAGACGCGTTTGCGTCGGATATGTCATAGTTGTCAATGGGAACTTTGATCTGACCATAAAGCTGTTTATCTGTACGGCATGCTTCATAGAAATTCCTGTCTTACGGATTACTCGACCCCCCTCTTTCGAATGTTTTGTATGTTAAAAAAGCGTCTATCTGATATAACCCTGTTTGATTATGCGGACCGATGCTAACAAAGTTAGAGCCAAGCTGAGACTTAGACCAAGAACTTAGACACTAGTATAAATATTTATAGTCACGGCATTGTTTCCCAAAAGTCTAAAAGTTATATATTAGTAGGGGGTTTGGCATATTTGAATAATTTATCTGATCCAGTTGTGAAAAACTCGGCGGCCTCGGTGAAATTCGAATTCACGCCAGCAAGAGGAAGGCTTCAGTACAACCAATGCGTTAACCAATTGACCTGAGGTCCCCACCAAGAGCCTTTAGTTTAGTCACACATTTGGGAAAATTTACCTGCTAGGCCTACTACAGTGTATGGAATTCATCAATTCAGATACAGTGAGCTGACTGCACAGGCGGGATTTCCTAAGCAATCTAGATCACCAAATGACTACCTGGCGCACCGAATAATTAGGAGCGATTTGGTAAATTTTAATAATTCAGTTGACGTAATTGTGATAAAATTCACGGCTCCTGGTGGGGACCTCGTAGCCCAGTTGGCTGGAGCGTTGGCTGTACTAAAGATTTCCTTTTGCTGGCGTCGGTTCGAATCCCAATGAGGCGCCAAACGAGGGTCGAATGAGTTGTACATTACCTCCTTTGGGTTGGTTACTTCCGCGTATTTTTATAGTGTGCGATCAGGTGCGCAGGCGACTGA